TCCCCAACTGGGATTGTCCTGATAAAGGCCCACATTTAATGTGTATATGTAGGTCAAAGTATTGGTAGACATACATCGCTTTGGAAGGTTTTGCAGATTCCATTGAGCGATTTGACGCCTCTCCCAGCTTGCGGCGAATCGGCCTCTCATCTTGCGGATCGATACGCGTATGATTCGGCTCCCCCACTTTCTTCACGATTTGGGGCGCGGCCGCGGCGAGCGCGGACGAGTCGATAGTGCCCGCGAACTGTGGTGGTGATGCGTTTTCAAATTTACCCACAGTTCGCGGGCACTATCGACTCGTCCGCGCTCGCCGCGGCCGCGCCCCAAATCGTGAAGAAAGTATGGGAGCCGAATCATACGCGTATCGATCCGCAAGATGAGAGGCCGATTCGCCGCAAGCTGGGAGAGGCGTCAAATCGCGCAATGGAATCTGCAAAACCTTCCAAAGGGATGTATGTCTACCAATACTTTGACCTACATATACACATTAAATGTGGGCCTTTATCAGGACAATCCCAGTTGGGGAGACAGAGAAAATAAAAGGGATTTTCGTCCCCCAACCCCTTGAGGGAGGACTAAATACGGCCCCAGGTGAACTGGATGTGGCCCATCGCTTCTCGCTTTTGATGCTTCGACGAGAAATGCTGGGAGGGCAAAGTTCACCACGTCGATACGCAAACCAGACCGCTCCGCTTCCGCGTTCGCGCGTGCGCAGATACTTCTGGTCGATTCGTATATAATTCTTTTCGCAAATTCGAATATTCTGCTGATTGTGACCGATGCCTTATCGACTCGGCCGTATTGGCCGCGACCGCGCCTCAAAATGTGAGAAAGTGGTGGAGCCCTCAGTGATTAGATAAGAGAATGAGCCTCTGAGGAAAGGAGGGGTTCGAGGTCAGTAAGCCAATCACCCTGTGACCTCATACTTTTGAACCTTTGCAAAACGGTGCATGGTCGGGTCCCCCCACTTTCTTCACGATTTGGGGCGCGTGACATCCGAGTGTGACATCGGCCTCAAGAGCACATTGATCGAGATGACCACGCCCACTGACCGCTCCTAGATGCGTACCTCGACGATCGTTCAGTCGCTAAGCATGAACTCCTTCCAGCATAATCGCTAAATCGCCAAATCGCTCAATCGCACACCGTTTGCTATGAACGCTGCCTTCGGCTGATGTCAGAGTCCGCGATCCTTTGCGCGATTTTTGCGATTTTCGCGAAACCTGCGACGGATCGCGGACTTTGACACCAGCCTTAGACCCTTCGACTTTCATAAGTCTGACCGCTAATACGACTTTGACTCACTCAAGACTGAGTAGCCAGAATCGATCCTGCTAAAACCTCATCCTCAAACTGCAGCCCAAGGAAACGCCAAAAGCAATGACATTGGAGGGGGATGCGTGGTCCTTCAGCAAACTTGGTTTAACAAAGGCAGCATGCCTAAAAAAAAACTCGGCGTGCATGTTTTCGCAGTGCGGGCCTTGACATAGTCCGCTTGTGTCATTTTCTGAAGATTAGACAACAGCAGTAGTGATCGGCGACGACATTTGCATACAAGATTATAAGTTAAGGAACATAGGATGTATACCGTAACCCACGTTTGCGTCAGAGCGCGGTTGCAGGCTTTCCAGTGCACAATGCCAGCACTAGTGTGAGAGCGGTCAACGACGCCGCCCCTGCTGTTCGGGGCAGCGAACCCAAAAATGGAGCGACGTCGCAGCGTTCGCCTCGCCGCTTGCGCGACGAAGCCGAACACCGTCGCAGCGTTGGCCTCGCCGCTTGCGCGACGAAGCCGAACACCGTCGCAGCGTTGGCCTCGCCGCTTGCGCGACGAAGCC